CAGGGGGTTGGACTAGATGACCTTTAGAGGGCCCTTCCAACCCTAACTATTCTATGATTCTATGATTCTATAAATGGGATAAGACAAGACAGGGCAAGGTGAGATGAGATGGGTTGGGTCAAGACAGGATGGGATGGGATGGGATGGGATGGGATGGGATGGGATGGGATGGGATGGGATGGGATGGGATGGGATGGGATGGGATGGGATGGGATGGGATGGGATGGGATGGGATGGGATGGGATGGGATGGGATGGGATGGGATGGGATGGGATGGGATGGGATGGGATGGGATGGGATGGGATGGGATGGGATGGGTCAAGATGGGATGAGATGAGATGGCATGGGACAGGACAGATGGGTCAAGGCAGGATGGGATGGGATGGGATGGGTCAAGATGGGATGAGATGAGATGACATGGGACAGGACAGATGGGTCAAGGCAGGATGGGATGGGATGGGTCAAGATGGGATGAGATGAGATGACATGGGACAGGACAGATGGGTCAAGGCAGGATGGGATGGGATGGGTCAAGATGGGATGAGATGAGATGACATGGGACAGGACAGATGGGTCAAGGCAGGATGGGATGGGATGGGACAGGATAAGGTGTGATGTGATGTGATGGGACAGGACAAGATAGGATGGGAAAAGATGAGCGGGACAGGATGGGATGGGACAGGATGGGACAAGACAGGATGGGACAAGACGGGACAGGGTAAGAGGAGCCCCCTTTGGGTCCTGTGTTACCCCCAGCCGTACTTCTTGGAGGGTTTCCAGCAGGCGCAAACAGTCACCAGGGTGACGAGGAGGAAGATGCCGCCCGTGGAGAGGATGATGTAGAGGGAACTCCGGCCTGGGGGAGAGGAATGAGGGGGGACAACCCCCCCAGAATTTTAGCTGGGAGCATCTGCAAGGGATGGCCAGCTCCGGGGGTGCGGGAGGGGGGAACGGGTGGCTTACGGTAGACGGTGAGCTTCACGGGGATGCTGCGCCCGTGGCTGATGGGGTTCTCCACCAGGCAGCTGTAGATGTCGTCATCAGCCATGAGGACGCGGGTGATGGTAAGGATCTTCTGGTCAGGGGAGAGGAGCAGGCGGGAGTCGTTGTTCAGCGGCCGCCCGTCCTTCAGCCAGGTGTAGGTGGGCTTGGTGCCATTCTCGTGTGAGCAGTTGAGGGTGAAGAACTCGCTGAGCTCCAGCACTGTCGAGGAGGCCACCAACACTTGCGGCTTTGAGATGGGGACTGCGGGCGAGCGGGGGAACCATGGTGATGCCACGTCTTGGGGGATGGATGGGCCCAGGGGACGGGAAGGGGGACGTCAAAACCCCACCGGGGATGTAGCTTGGCTGCATGGGGTAGTTGAACCCCAGAAACCACCTCCCAGTTGGAGAAAGCCCTCCCAAAAAGTGGTCGGGGAAGACATCCCATGGAGAACCCAATCTCCACTGGACGTCCTTCTAGCGCTTACTGTCCACGGTGAGGTTGATGGTCTTCTCGCCGGTGAAGGTGTCGTCGGTGATGGACACCTCCACCTCATAAGCACCTTCATCGGCCAACTGCAAGGGGCTGATGAGCAACGAGCCGTTCTCCAGCACCCGGATGCGGTCACGGTAATCGGGCCGTAGGTTGCCGATGATCTCGGTGCCGATGGACTGGACGACGGTGACGGGTTTGTCACGCTTCAGCTGCCACTTGACCACCGGCTTGTCAGCGCTGGCACTGGCGTAGCGCACCGACAGCAGGGCCGCTTTGCCCGCCGTGCCGCGGACCAGCGGCGTGGGGCTGGTGATGTTCACCCCCGCCAGCAGACCTTGGGGTGGGGAGAGACAGTGAGGTGGCGAGTCCGGGCAGGCTGCCTGGACCTCTGAGCCCGGAGAAAAACGGGGAACCCCCTCCGGGAGCTGTGCTGAGCACCCCCAAAATGCATCACCGGGGCTGGGATGCCCAATCACAGCGCAAGCGGGCTGTTTGCATAAACGTTTGTAAAGATGCATGCATCGCCCCAAAAAGTGCAGGGGAACACACAAAAAAGGGGGGGGGGGGGGGGGGGCCCCCTCCTGCACAGGTCAATGCAATGCTTTGCAAAAATGCACGCATCACCCCCAAAATTGCATTGGGGGTGGGAGCGCTTCTGCACTCAGGTTGATGCAACGCTTTGCAAAATGCACGCATTGCTCCAAAAACTGTATTGGGGGGGGTGGGGGGGGGTGGGAGTGCTCCTGCATCCAGGTTGATGCGTCCCTTTGCAAAATGCATGCATCGC